ATGGACGGCGTTGCGGTCTCTTTCATCTGCTTAAGAGTGAAGGAAAGTTGGAACGCAAGACTGATGGCAAAAGCGAGGATGCCGTGTCTTGCGCGCACATTGAAATCTTCTGTCTTGGATCCAACCAGGTGCATGGCTTCTGATGGGGGGAAATCTGGAGGACCCTTTGACTCAATCACAAAACCACAATCTGGAGAGAAGCCCACCATAGACATGGCGTGAGGGATATCGTGTGGGATAGGAGCGCCAGTAGGAAAGCGGAGCTCGTGCTCGAGCCAGTCCATGTCGACGTTGGATTGGCTTGGAAACTCTTGAAGATACAAGACGAACTCGCAGTGGTGCCCTTGGAACATACCTTCATTGTTGCCCTCCGCAGCGGATGTCCAGGGGTTCCAATTTGGGAAAGCTCTCTTCTCTTGCCGTTCTATAGCTTCGTGTATCGTCCGATTGAGGAACTCCTGGGACGTCGAGTAGAAGTATGGCGTAACCTGCAGGTGAGGCAAAGCGAAGATGCCCGCAAACCGATCACTCGTAGTAGTCAGAACAGCAGTTCCACTCTTCATAAAATGAACGCCGTGTGCCACGAACTCCCACCAGTTCCCCCCAAAGCTGTCTTTGTCTCCGATGACCACTTTCGCGCTGATCTCAGATATAGTCTTGTTCGCATTCCTCCGCATTCTATCTTCCAGCTCTGTGACGTGTATCCGCAACGGTCCACCTGCACCAGTCAGGTTCCTGTCGTATACCGCCATGTTTCCGAAGGGATCGTCGGGTATGGCTGAGGCGTTGCCCATATCGCTGGGATGCCGTATGCGACTCAGCGGCGAGCGCGTCCATTCTCCCTGCACGTAACCAGACAGGTTCTTGTATACCGGTATGCCAGCTTCCCCATCCTGCAGCGGTCCATCCAGCATGCCCTTCCACCCATCTCCCAGTAGTCGCTCAGACTGCGCCTTTGCCTTCTGCCTCACTGGGTCCAGCAAGTCCCACGCAAAGCCATCCTCATCCCGCAGCCCAGTGACATTGAGCCACCTGTCCTTCCTTGGGTTGAAATCGCCGTATCGCGTCCGATTAAGGATGTCGAGTTGGTAGTATTCGCGCTCGATGAGCTCTCGGTAACGGGTGCGCGCATTGAAGGTTGGCTGTTGCTGTTCGGGCGAGTTGATGAGCAGCAGCAGGATTATAAAGAAGAGAAAGGATCGGGGGTCTCTTCTAGTTTCCATCAGGGCGGCTTCGGTCGTGCATGAGCCGCCATGGAGCGGGTGGAGGCAGGCAGGCGGGAATGCAACGGTAGGTAGCGCAGGACGGATGACGTGCGCAGATCCGAGGTCTCGACTCACGCGTGTCTGCTATCAACGTACAGGGTCCACGCACGACAGCTTGGCAAAAGGTAGCTCTCACAATTACCATCATATCACATGTTCAGAGTTTGGATGTATCTATCTATCGATTTCGGCCAAAGGGCAAGAGGGGTATTGGGTCAATTCTATGTACACCGAGAAAGCGGGCAAGATTACTTCATCATGGCCTATCCTAAACACCTGCAAACGCCTCCATGCTGATCCTTTTCTTCGTACGCGTAAGCCGTGACTCTTTCAAATAGCATAAGGGCATAACAACATCTACTGCATCGGGCTGCTAATCGCTGGTGGCGCAGCCTCCAGGTCAACACGCTGGACCGTCTGGCGCAGGTCATTGCTGCTGCGGACGAGGTTGCCGAAGTACTTGCGAGCGATTTCGGTTTCCGCCTTGAGCTTCGTTGTCTCCTCCTTCTGCAACTGGAGCTTCTCGACGTTCCTCTGCAGGCCGATGCGGACATCGTTGGCAGGGCCCTTGAGTGCACGGCGAACCTCGGAGCTGATGCGAAGGGCGTTAGAGTGTGTGTAGTCAATCGCTGAGAGCTGCTGAGATAGCTTTGCGCTGAGGCGGTGAGGTAGCGACTTGGGCACGGAAGCCAGGACGTATGATACTCCGAGAGCAACTAGAGACGTTAGTATAGATCAAATGACAGCGGAAGGATGTGCTTACCACCAGCGATGAGACCGGGAATGATCAGTCTCCTCATGTTGCTCGTACCCATAACCTTTGCAGCACCAAGGGCACCGTCTAGCCAGCCGACGCCGCCGACCAGCCTGCCACCTACTACACCGGCAACAGTCATAGCCATGCCGGCACCGGCAGCCTTTTCTTGTCGCTCCCACAGGCTGGCGACATCGAAGAAGTCCCATAGGTCGATGTCGATGTCCACCTGGCGGGCGAGAGCGTGCACTGACTTCCTGAACATCCTCTCTGGGCGGAACATGACATCGGCATACAGGTTGTTGCCAAGATGTAAAACACCCAAGTTCTTAATGCCATTGTAGCCTTGTACCGCTTGGGTTCGTGCATGTTCTTCGCACAAGCGAACCGCTTCGGTGATCTCGTGGAGCATGGAGTCTCTAATGTCCTCGGCGTACTGGTAGGCTGAGAAGAGGCCAGGGTATTCAATGCCAAGATCCTGCTCTGCCACCCTAGCGATAGAGTTGTTGAGCGTGTCCCGGGTGTGGCCATAGACGTCTGATGTTGTGTCTTCGACCATACGATCAACTGCCTCTCCGGCTTCTGTCCGTGACTTCTTTGACTCTTCGAACTCGGGCTCGAGCGCCTGGATCTCCTTGGTGACACGATCCAGTTCGCTCTGAGAGACATCACGGTTGACAGTGGCAAGGTTGTTCATGTCTCCTAGCACGTTGAGGAGATAGGTCTTGGCGGGTGCTAGCTTGGATCGCGCCCTCTTCTCCAATACGAAACGTCGCAAAGAGGCCTCGAGATCAGCAAAGTCGCGCTGCTTCTCTGCTTCCTTGCCCTTTCCTTTGTCAGAGGGGTCATCGTCGCCGTCGTCATCCGGGGGGCTCCCTCCTCCACCCATGGGAATGGCGTTACTGGAGACGAAATGCACCAGTTCGCTGGACTCCTTGAATGTGGCGGGACTGAGATTAGCGACTTGCTTCAGGATCATTTCCTGGCAACGGTTCTGATCGCGGATGGTGTCGAAACCGTTGACCACCATAAACATGTATGCCTTCTCTCGCGCAGCGGTGAAGATGAAGTTCTTGGCGGACTCGGTGAAGTGGTTGGCGGCAGAAACGACGAAGACGACAACGTCAATCTCTTCTTGGCGAGCGAAAACGGCGGTTGTCTTCAAAGAGTCGGCGTTCAGACCCGGAGCGTCAATGAGAGCGATATCGACGACTCCGTTGTTGAGCAGAGATTCATCCACGTCCCGTATGTCCTTGACGTAGATCTTGCATTGTGAGAAGTGGTCGTTGTCAATGACGATCTTCTCAAGGTCCTTCAAGTCGAATACAACATAGGTGCTCTCGTCGTTGCGGTTGTATGTCGAGCCGATGGGAATCGCGTGGACCTCTTCTACTCCGCCGTTCTCTCTGAAGTCAAGCACCTCGCAGAATATGCTTGTGCAGGGCTGCTGGTCTTCGGGAAGGACCTTGCGTCGGAGGAGGGCGTTGCAGAAGGTTGACTTTCCGGCGTTGAGATCTCCGGTGACCAGGACCTTGCTCGATGTGTCCTCGATACGCTCTTTGAGAGAGAAAAGGTGGCGTATGCTCTGCTGGATCTGTCCGTCGAGGAGAGAGGCAACCGAGTTCTTCTCGAGCGAGTGCACCAGGTCTGTCTGGTTCCGGCCTCCCATGCGCAGTTCCAACTTCAGGACGGAGAAGTCGTGGGCCAGCTGTGGCGTGACCAGTCTGGGCTCCTCCTTGCGTTTCTGTTCGGCGGCTGAGCTCGATTCGCCGAAGTCGTCTCCAATCGTCGTGCCCGCTCGGCGGGGTCCTCGCGGCCGTTCGGGGGAGCGCATGTCGGGGTCGAAGTTGCCCATGGCCGACTGTGTGTGCTGCAGGCCGGGCCGTGATTCGTTGCGGAGATGTGCTTTTTGCTTTTCTGCCACCTGGACCGAGGGGTAGTGGGCCGGCCATTTCAGGTTCATCTCTTGGAAACTCTTCAGCGTCTCGATGGTGCCGGCAATGGCGCGGCCAAGGGCGTTCTTGTTCTGGTTGTAGCGCAGTTGCAGGACATGGCTGCGCTGGCGTTCGTGTTCGGCGTTCCCTGACCCGGCAGACAGCATCGGTGATGGCCTGTCTTCGCCAATGTTAGACCGCCAATTCATGCCGCTGCTTTCGCCGTCTTGCATACTTCCGCCGTAGCCAGAGTCCTCGTCGAGCATCGAGACGAGGCGGGCGGCGGCGTCGCTCGTGGTGCTGCCGCCGCCGACCGTCATGTATCCGGGTCCAGCATTCCGGCGCGGGACGAAGTCGTCGGATTGGCCACGGCGGCCGCTGCTGGAGGACTCGCCGGGCGAGGAGGGGCGGCCGTTGCGTCGATCGGGATTCATCGAGGTGGTTCGGGTGGTTGCGCTATGAGGAGGGGCGCATGTCGTGATAGATGCGGAGGGGCGGGTGTGATGTTGTGGAGAGAGGCGGTGTCGAGAAAGAATATGCTGAGACAACGTCAGAGTTGGTGTGCACACGCCACCTCGCACCCAAGCAGGGATTGGCTGTCGTGACAGCTACACGCCCACCAGGGCACTGCCGCGGCATACACGTGTGCAGCGATTTCACGTCAATCTTTGCACGTCTGGCTGGGTGCTGTGTAATGCGTGAATCATTTGGGTGAATCGGTGTACTAGAATTGCGCTTGCTTAGAGGCGGGCAAGTGGTAGATAATTCCCTTGAGGCTCGGCATCGCCATACCTGCGTCTGCGTATCTTGCCCTCCACGCCTCAACCCGGCCGAACATCAAATGACATAATCGGGCAAGGCAGCCACTTTTGCAACTTGACGTCTCTGATCTCTTCCCGCACAAACACCCGCCTATCCAGAGCTGGTCTCTTCCTCTAGTCTTGTAATCTGAGCGAAGTGGTCGGTCGTATCGCGCTGCCCGCCGCACCCACATCTCCAAGTCTACCCCAGGATCCTCCACAAACCTCGCCCAATCTAGTCGCAACCATGAACGTATGCATACCTGCTCTTATACATAGCCCATGCTGACAGACCTGCAAGATCGTAGAATGGGCCTTCGGAAAGCGCATGACGCCGGCGGAACGGTTGCGGAAACACCAGCGCGCACTCGAGAAGACGCAACGAGAGCTAGACCGCGAGCGCGTGAAGCTTGAGAACCAGGAGAAGAAGCTAGTCGCAGATATCAAGAAGAGCGCAAAGAATGGGCAGATGGGGCCTCTGCGCATCCAGGCAAAGGACCTGGTGCGCACACGGCGGTATGCTGAGTCGCTGTCGCATTGCTGATAGCACATGGCTAACGTACGCAAGATACATCCAGAAATTCTACCAGATGCGCACACAACTGCAGGCGATTTCGCTCAGGATACAGGTATGGCGTATGCCTACTAGGAACGGACATGGCTAATGCGAGCAGACCGTACGCAGTAACGAGCAGATGATGCAGTCCATGAAGGGCGCCACAAGTGAGTCTCTATCCGCAACCCTTAGCTAAACTACTCTAACCTGTGCAGCGCTGCTCGGAAGTATGAACAGGCAGATGAACCTCCCCGCGCTCCAACGCATTGCCATGGAGTTTGAGAAGGAGAACGACATCATGGACCAGCGGCAGGAGATGATGGACGACGCTATCGATGATGCCACTGGCATGGAAGACGAAGAAGAGAGCGAAGACGTCGTCAACCAGGTCTTGGATGAGATAGGCATCGATCTTGGCCAGGCTGTGAGTACTCTGCCACTACCAAGACCGCAATCGCTAACGTCGCATAGCTTGGCGAGACGCCCAGCGGACTGCAGAAGAACGCAGTACCTGAAGCTAGGGTGGCGCAGGCTGTTGGCGGCGGCGGAGCTGACCCTGATGACGACGACCTCCAGGCACGCTTGGACAGCCTGAGAAGGTGAGGTGAAGGGCTAGTACCAGAAGCAACTTGGCCATGCCCGCGCAGCATTCTTGGCTCCGTGTCAGCATGCTAGATATCAGGCCGACGGCTTGAATAGAGGGTTCATTCTTGATCACGTCAAGAGACAGTGCAATATGCGTATGAAGATCTGAAGATCTCAAATTTCCGCTGTTCATGTTGCGGGATAGTCATGGCCGGCGGTTGTACATAGACATGTTAGTCAATTCAAGCCGGCTCCACAGTACGCGCCGGTCTGCATGCGCGCGAGCCTAGATCGTGCTGATCCGCAGCCCAAAACCCTGGATTTGCTTTGGGTATGCTAGCCTTGGTTGATATAGCAGAGTCACAGGACCGTGTATTTGGCCTGCGCCGTCGCCTCCATTCACACCCGCGCAGTACCTAGCGGGGTCGCCTTCGTGAGTCGAGTACCTGCGCAATTGATCCCCGCACTTCCACAACAAGCAGTCGGGTTCCCATTGCTCGCGCTGTCTGCCACTCACTACCTATCCGCCCACGCTATCTCGACGATCGTCCAATCTCAACCCTGGAACGTGCCCGCGCCTTGTCATCTTTTCGCAGTGTCAAGCCTTCTCTTGCGCCAATTGATATTTCCGGCTGCTCGCCCCGCCATACACCCTCGACGTCATTACACCTAGCACCGACGACTCCCACGACTCCTCCCCTTGCATCCGTCTACATCTTTCCTACATTCTTGTCCCTCGAGCCCCGCTTATCTCATCCGCGAATCCGCCGCCGCCTCGGCCGCCCCATCTGCATCGCCGCCACTACCCAGTCACCAAACGCCAGCGCCATCCTCCAAGCTGGCAGGTAACAGGCGTCGGAGCGCCCAGGGAGGCTTGCTCTCGAAAATGTTTGGCAATGCAAAGGACGACGAGAGTCCCGCCGTCGACCCCCCTGCCAACCATGACGCGCCCAAACCCGCAGCCCCAGTGGCGGACAACGCAGCTGCTGCACCGACAAACACAACCAGCAACGGCTCCGCTTCCATAGATCGCAAGCCCAGTGACGCTTCCGCCCCCACCGAGAGAAAACGACGGAGTAGTGGCGTATCGCGTGCTCGCGACATGTTCTCGAGCGCGAAACAGTCGCTGCACCTAGGCGGCTCTTCTCCCACCAACACGACCAACAACACCATGACCGAAAAGGCCGCCCCTCAGACGCCCATGCAGAAGCTGGGCAAGTCGGATGCTGCCCTCAGTGTCCCCCAGGGCTCCCTCAACAACTCGGCTGGCGAGTCGGCGCCCGGCCCACGATCTACCTTCCGCGTCGGTGTCACAGAGGATAAGAACAAGAAGTGCAGACGAACGATGGAGGATACCCACGCATACCTGTACAACTTCTTGAGCACCCCAGCGCCCTCGTATGCCGCCGACAAGGCCCGCGCCATCTCCGACGCCAGCTCCACTCAGTCTGACCCTCTGTCGCAAGCCGTAGTTGAGACGGACAACGGATACTTCGCCATCTTCGACGGACACGCCGGAACCTTCGCTGCCGACTGGTGTGGAAAGAAGCTTCACCTGATCCTGGAAGAGACAATCCGGAAGAACCCCAACACCCCGATACCCGAGCTGCTCGATCAGACCTTCACCGTCGTCGACCAGCAGTTGGAGAAGCTTCCTTTGAAGAACAGTGGTTGTACCGCGGTCATTGCAGTTCTGAGGTGGGAGGACCGAGTACCTAATGCGCAATCGTCCACCGGCTCAGTGCTCTTTGCACCCGCGGCTGTATCGGCTATCAAGCATGCAGGCGAAGGCGGCGAGGCTACCGATTCCGCTGTGGAGCCCGCAGCTGAACAGCAAGTCGAGGCGAGATTACGCAACGAGGCCAGCCGACAGCGCGTGCTGTACACCGCCAACGTAGGTGATGCGCGTATTGTCCTCTGCCGCAATGGCCGAGCGCTGCGCCTCTCCTACGACCACAAGGGCAGCGACGAGAACGAGGGACGCCGTGTTGCTAGTGCCGGCGGCTTGATTCTCAACAACCGCGTTAACGGCGTCCTTGCTGTCACACGAGCACTGGGCGATGCCTATATGAAGGACTTGGTCACCGGACACCCGTACACCACCGAGACTGTGATTCAGGCCGAGCAGGACGAGTTTCTCATTCTCGCTTGCGATGGTGTAAGTAATGCAGTCACAAATTCATGACATTTGCTAACAGCTATAGCTCTGGGATGTCTGTTCCGACCAGGAAGCCGTCGACCTAGTCCGCCAAGTTCATGATCCACAAGAAGCCTCCAAGAAGCTCGTCGACTACGCCCTCGCACGATTTTCGACCGACAACCTCTCCTGTATGGTAGTTCGCTTCGACAACAAGGCTCTTCGGCAACGCAAGAACGACGCCGCGATGGGTGTGGACGGTGACCAGTCGACCATGAAGGGCGGAATCACCGAGGCAGACGCCATCGTAGCACAAGCGAAGAAGTCAATTGGCGAGCCTGAGATACCGGTCGAAGCAGCGGCACAGGAAATTATCATGGAGGAGGCCGAGGCTGAGCCCGGTCCTGAGCTCAACTTGGACGCCGCAAAGGCAGCCAGGAAACACGACGCATAGTGTGGATGGGTCACGACTTGGCATATGGATACTATGAATGGGGGAATATCTTGGAAGGGCAGGCGGCGTGCAATGTTCATGGACAGATGGCGGCAGTGTATGATTTCTAGCGTACCTGAGGATCCTTTGGGACCAGGTTTCTTTCGGGTGCATTCCCTAAGGTTAGCCGTATCTCAGAACTGAGCGCTTCAATGTAATCAAAGCAAAGCAAGTAAACATGAGCTTGTCACACGTGTATGTTTGCTGTCTGTTGTATGCTACATCTGTTTGCCCCGCGTGTTTGCGCATTGACATTCCAGGTCCACGATGCGCTAATGACGATCGTGGGGCCTTTACCTGCACCGACTTTCACCGCATTCAAGAAATCCTGCGTCTACTAGCCCCCATTCCCGCTGCATCTACCCCCGAAGCTTGGATCACTGGAGTCACGCTCATGCGGCTCCGAGGAGCAACGCGATAATCATGTCGGGCGTCGACACGGCAGACTCTACGACCAACGCCCTCCCGAGCGATGCGCGACCCGCCTTTGTGACGCCGCGGGACCTGCTCCAACAGTCCCGAGCGCCTCTGCCCCCGAAAGAGCAGCCGCGCCAACTTTCAGCTGTTGACCGCGAGCAACTGGACGGCCTGGTATGAAGTCTGGATCGCGGACAGTCGCTGCGGTAGCTGACAAGAGCTAGAGAACCATCAGAGCTTTCCTCAAGGCCAGAACGAGCTACGATGTTCTTCCTATAAGCTATCGCCTGATCGTCTTCGACACGGCGCTGCTCGTGAAGAAGAGTCTGAACATACTGAACCAGAATGGTGAGCTTGGATATTGTGTATGGAAGCACGAGCTGACGCTGTATGTAGGTATCGTCTCAGCGCCGCTATGGGATTCCAAGTCATCTACCTTTGCCGGACTCCTCACCACATCGGACTATATAAACGTCATCCAGTACTACTGGCAGAACCCAGACGCTTTGGCGCGGGTCGACCAGTTCCGCCTGAACAGTCTGCGAGGTAAGCGCTCGGCTTCGCATACCGGACACAAGCTCACACAGACAGACATCGAGAGATCTTTGGGCGTCAAACCCATAGAGACCATATCCATCCACCCCGACCGACCCGTATACGAAGCATGCCGCAAGATGCTCGAGTCGCGCGCCCGGCGTATCCCCATTGTCGACAGCGATGACGAGACACGTAGAACCATGGTCGTTAGCGTCATCACCCAATACCGCATATTGAAATTCATCGCCGTGAACGTCAAGGAAACACAGAAGCTGCGGAAGCCGCTGAAGGAGCTCAACGTCGGTACATACGAGGATCTCGCGACTGCATCGATGGACACACCGGTCATGGACGTCATCCACATGCTTGTTAAGAAGAGCATATCAAGTGTGCCCATTCTGGACAGAGCCGGTAGGTGGTAGTGTTGGATTACGGCAAACTTGGCTAATATCCACAGGTACCGTGCTGAACGTCTTCGAAGCCGTCGACGTCATTGCACTTATCAAGGGCGGTGTATACGACGACTTGAACCTTACAGTCGGCGACGCGCTACTAAAGCGCTCAGACGTACGTCTCTACATCCTCATTATTAACACTCCTCTAACAACGCCCAGGACTTTCCCGGCATCTTCACCTGTTCGCTCAACGACAACATGTCCACTCTATACGACACGATCCGCAGATCGCGCGTCCACCGCTTCGTCGTCATCGACGAAAACAGCAAGCTCAAGGGCATGGTGACGCTGAGCGACGTTCTCGAGCATACGCTACTGGAAGGCATGGAGGACGAGTAGAACGACGCTATCCTAGACCACTTGTCAGCGAGCCATGTTAAGAGTCTTAGACTGCATGAGCAGAGAATGAGGAGGTGCGATGATTGAGATGAGTGAACGTCTTGATGGGAGGACTGAGAGCATGTTTTGGGAATGATTCAAGATATCATATAAGGCGTCCTGGGAGGAAACAAGTCCGCGAATTCGAGTCATGAAGGAGGTCTAGCGAGTCAATATTAACATATTATAAATTCTTCTCGAGTCTCTAAAGTATGTTCGCGTCCAGCGCCCACTTTCTAATGGTATCTCTAACAGCATAACTCCGGGTATTTCCATAACAACAAGAACTAACTCTCCCCAGCCAGACGCCTCGAATCAATCACAACGCCTCGCCTCTACGCGCCCTCACCCTCATCCTCATCCTCATCCTCATCCTCATCCTCATCCTCATCCTCATCCTCATCCTCATCTCCATCCCCCACCCAACTAGTACTAGCACCAACCAACTCCAAGATCTGACACTTCCTGGTCTCACTAACCTCCCCCCTCTCCACCGCCCCTTGCACAAACGCCTCAAACTCCTCCTTCCCCATGACTTCCTGCCCCTCCTCCGGAAACAGCTGCGCAGACACCTTTTCCGCAATGTCGGCTGGGATGCGGCCTGCGGCGCTTTGCACGGCGAGACCGAGGACGAGGCGTGCGGTCCGGATTAGGTGCGTGTCTGTTTGGCTGGTGGTGGTTGAGGTCGAGAGGGCGCGGTGGAGGAGGAGGATTGTTGTGCGGGAGTCCGGGGATGAGGGTGGACTGGTGGTGGTGGTGGGGAGGGAGGAGTGGGTGGACAGGGGGAAGTCGTCGATACATGAAAGAGGGTTTTCGAGTTCTGTTGTTGGTGTGGATAAGGGTGATGGGGAATGATGGATAACAGTTGTCGTAGGCGAGGGTTGGGGTGTGATTTCTGAAAGCGGGTTTTCGCTTTCAGTCACCGGTGTGGATAGAGGCGATGGTGATGGGGAAGGCCGTGAGTGCGAACTTCGGATGAAGAGAGTGGGTGTCGGTGTATCCGCGAGTGGGTCTCCAATCTCAGTTACTGGAGTGGATAAAGGTGATGGTGATGGAGTAGTCTGAATAGCTGTGCCAGGTCTTGAAAGAGGTTGCCGGATGTGGATAGTAGTTGGCGAGGCTTGCAGCATTGCTACAGCGGTAGCGGGGATATTCTCGCCTATGACTGAGGTGCTGGGTCTGATTTCGGAGCTTCTTGGAGATATGTATCTCGTGAAGCCGGTGAAGCCGGATGGGACGCGGGCACGGGATGGTGTTGCTGGACTGGTTGGGCGGGACGGTCGGTAGTAGGGGATGGGAAGGGAGTAGTTTATTGGACTTGTTGACGGTGAGGGGCTCGCTGGGGTGTCTTGGGGGAGTGGCGTGGATTCGAAGAGGGATGGGGAGAAAGAGAAGCTGGAATGAGAGCTCGGTGTCGATGTAGATGCGGAGTCGCTGCCGGTGTCAAGAGGATGGGGTCGGGTGGTGGAGATGGGGATGAAAGCGATTGGCTATAGGAGAGTCATGTTAGTGATACGCCGGGGAAAAGAGAGGAGGGTATAGTGAGACTTACATCAATCTGCGGTGCTTCATCCGAGATATCCAACGGTGATGGTGTTCGCTCCACCCAGTCTTCTTCCTGAACTGACATATGCTTATCACTACATTCTTCACATCCAAAATCCCTGCAATGGAAACCCGATGTTAGCAATCCGCCATCAATGTACGGGAGTATAGCTTCGGGTAAATCGCACCTCTTGCACCGTCCATGGTGGAACTTGTGACTGCAGCTCGTCCTCATCGAGGTCCTCGGGGTAGAGGCAGAAGACGAGGACTTGAGATCTAGGTGGAGAAGGTCGAGTAGGAATGTCTTGATGCGGCAATAACGACCGTGTGCTATGCAGTCTTGTAGTTCTAGGGGCGTCAGGGTGCAGTGAGATGCTGTCGCGTATGCCGGATGTGAAGCCTTGATTGGTGAAGGAGGGAGAGACGGTGAGTATAGGTCTAGGAAAGATTGCGAAGGCGATGTAGGGGTTGGCGGCTCCGAAGGTATCGAGCATAGTGTGTGTGCGCTTGCGACTGTGAAGACGCTGCTTCGATCCCGTCTATGTTGAGCATGTTTGCGGCGTGCGTCTTCTTTTGGCTCGAAGCCGTTGCCGAATCTGAAGTCGTATCGTAACTCGCCCTTCCTATGGTGTGGCCGGTATTTGGATTCTGGTGTAGTTGAGCCAGAAATTGTGCGACGAGGCCTCGTGGGTGTTGTGTTGATATGGTAGTTGTGATTCATAAAACTGTCTGAGCGTCGGAGTCGTTGTATGTCAACGTCAGACATACTCCGGATCTTAGGCTGCCGGCGATGGTAGTTAGTCTCTGAGGTAGGCAGGGGAATGAGGTGAGGATATGTTGACAGCTGGTGGGTTGTGGCCTCCATGACTGCGGGGGTAGAGGGTTCTGAGGTGGAAAGTAGCGTTAAGCTGGGAGTGTAGAGTGTAAGTACCTTTGTTCGCCCGAGATCGCAATTCTGGACTGAACTGATAGATGAATGAAGGCTCAGATGCCTTGTTTTGGTCCGGTTGCACATCTGCTGACCCAAAATTACGGTAGAAAGGGTCCGAAAGAGGTCGAGACATTCACTGCCTTCATCCTGCTCCAAAGAGCACACATTGTTACCCTCACTAGCGTGTGAAAGATGTCCGCGTCCTAAGAAAATCATTTCAAAGTCGCTGCCGTCGATTGTCGTTGTGAGCATGATGTCAAAGCAATAGCGTCTTTGTTGAGATACATCGCCTAGCCCATGGCGGCGGGACAATGACTTTATGAAGCGTACGTCGTTATTAAACTCGGTTCTGTCTTACTACGGGAGCAGAATCTAAGGTTCGCGTCATTTTGCTGAAACCTGTCATCCTAAGAAGATTGATTGCGATCGTAACTTAGTTTGGGAGTAAGCTGAAGAGGCCGTGTTACAACACATTGCGCAGAGCCTTGAGTAAAGTTTACCGTTTGTTTCACCTCGTTCTGGAAGGCGGATGGAATCGGCGGCAAAGTTTGAACGTCGATGAAGCGATCGATTGCACCATTATGTGACGATAACCGTTGCTGTCACTGTCAAACTCAAGTGCTCGTTACTTCCTTGATGACCGGTTGGGTGGCTGGGTGGTTGAAACCCGACTGCCGCCTGCCGCCGGCAAACTGCCCGCCTCACTTCTCGAACACCCAACCACCGCTCCTCAAGCTTCACACGCTCAACCCTTATGTATATCTTGTATGTATACGCGTACAGTTCCCATCTTCTCTCATAGGCGAGATAAAAATGGAGATGGAGGGCGCGTTCTTTAGTGAGTGATGCCGCCCTTCGATGTGCGCGCGCCCTTCGCCTAGCAACTTCAACTCCTCACAGCCAACAACACCGACGGTGAATTTGCGCGAGCGGGATTGCTACGGTCAGTATCTAAAGTTCTTCGGGAAATTCTTGCTTCGAAACACACTACAATTCGTCGGCTTGTACTGCTCATCGATTAAACTTTACCGGTCGACACGTCGACAGCGCACGACAGCCACTAGACATACGCTTGGACGTCTTTTCACCACCTGTCCGCCCTCCTCATCGCGACGCTTCGAAACACCAACACCGCCTCACCAAAATGAACGAACAAAACGAATCCCTCCTCTTCCGTCTCCCGCGGGAGTTGCGCGATGAGGTCTACCACTACTATGTTCTTGAGGAAGACGGTTACCACCACGATGCCACGTCTGACAAGCTTCGACAGGCTAGCGGACGTCCGATCAATTTAAGTTTGCAGTACACTTGCAAGAAGACTGCGACCGAGATGGAGGGTCTGGCTCTGCAGGTGAACAGGGTTACATTCCGTACAAAGCTCGAAGTACCCGAACCTGACAGCGAATGCTCGAACGCGCTTTTATGGAATCATCTTCTCTGTGAACGAGAACGACCTCTCCGACGTATGTTCGAGTGGTCCTATACTCTGGTTACACTCGAAGCTATACAACGCCTACGAGAGCTGCACCCGGATAGTACCGCGGCGGAGCAGATCGAGAAAGCGTTCATCAGGATGGGCAACAGGATTCACTGGCTCAGCCCCGGTACACTGTTTAATGAAGGCCTAGTTTGGAGTATAGACTATACAGCGCACACAACTCTACTACAAGACTTGTTGCAAATCCTATCCACCCACCCAGAGTTCTGGCGGTTGACTTCCAAAGAGTATACCAGAGAGTCTGAAGAAAACGACAGTAGGCACGCTTCGGCTAGTCAAATTGAGCTGTTCTCTGACTTTGCACAGATGGTAGGATTGTACACGAAGATCTGGAGTACCCAAATCAGACGGTTCAGGCGTTGATGCTTGGATGGCGCCCGGACCCATGGCGAATGCCGGATCGCGCTGAGTTTGACACGATCTTCGAATTTCTTCCACGGCCTCCTGCAATAGTAGAGGACTTTGACCGAGGGTGGTATCTGGATGACACGTACTATTCGGCTACCGCAGTGACTATTCGATTCTTAGAGCGCTTGCCACCAGCCACTCGGACGCATCTACGCAATATTACCATCCAGGAAAACGAAATAAGCGAGGCACATAGGCAAACTCACGCTAGAGGCCTTATTCCTTTCTGCTGCGAAAACCTCAAGCTTCGGATTGAGAGGAGAGTAGACGTATTTCACCAGCACTTCTTGTCCGAGCGCATGGGTTTAGAAGACGGAATCGAGGAAATTGCGCCCTGGTTCGTTGAAACCAAGTTCCTCAAGAGGCTTGGGATGCCACCCGATTCCTTTCGCTTGGTTCTTCACGGGCCCACACCTCGAGCGAGCCAACGGCTGAGCGACCTTCTCATCAAGCTTGCCATTTGGGACGAGGGCTGCACTGTACTCGAGCATAGATTAGGTCCCAGCTCCGATTATGTCGTCTACCCAATGCGTAGAGGCTTTGCGGATGGTGTTAAGAAGATGGTTACAGGTGAGCTTCCTGCAAGAATTGAGGCCGACATGGGACATGTGTGGGATATCAACCAGCTCCTGGACGACCATGTTGGCGAATGGCCTGCACTCAGCGAAGACGTATATGTGAAGACTGCGACTAGGCATGCTGGACACGAATTGTCACTTGAAGAGGAGGACTAGACAGAACGAATGGAAGGCTGCAGTCTTTTCAATACAAATCCCGTTACGACTCAAAGAATTCGGCATTCGTCAAACCGCTCTTGGGGTTCAAGGTACCATGGTACACCTCCGCCGTTGCGCCCTCGGTCGCGCCCTTGACAGCGCCCTTGACGAGTCTGACTAGTGCCGAATTTCGCGTTTCCCCATGTAAAAGGTCTTGGTTTCCCGGACCATCGCATTCTGATACCCATCCAAAGCCTTTGCGACGCCGCTTCTGTGTCTTCTCTTTAAAGTCACATCACAATCGCTTAATCCAGTGAAGGCCTCTCAGCCATGGCAATGGACCCGACACCACAGAACGCGTTGGATCAGCACCAGTCTCTCCTCTTCCGTCTTCCACGAGAGCTGCGAGATGAAATCTACTACTACTATTCCCAAGCGAACGGCTACTACTACGACTCCACTTCTGGGACACTTCGAATGGACGGCGGCGAGTGCATTGATCTCAGCCTTCAATATACCTGCAAAAGGACAGCGGCGGAGATGCAGGGTATTGCCTTGGGGATCAACACAATGACCTTCCGTACTATGCTCGATCTCCCCAGGCCTTCCGACCAACTCATGAAATCCCAAATCTTCGGTTATTACATCGATGAAGGAAGGGGTGCCATACTTAGTCGCATGCTCGAATGGACATACCCTCTAGTCACAGCCGAGACCATGCGTAAGTTGTGCGAACGCCATCCAGCGAACCTGGCAGTCAAGAAGATGAGGGAATTGCATCGAGAGGGAGACAGTGATGGACCCCTAGCGCGTGGACACCTATGGGGTGAGCTTGAAGATGTCGATACAGTCGATTATAACGAGTTCTCAGCGCAAACATTCGAAATCATCCGAGACTTGCTGGATATCACATCCACGGAGCCTGAATTCTGGCACATGACTGCAAGCGACTTCGATGTTAACGCGAGGAGGGCCTTTTTCGTGGCAACTAATCACTGGGCCACCCGTTGGGAGGCATTCGAGGATTATCTTATGAAGCATGTTCCCGTATACACTTCCAAGGCAGAACAGCAGCGAGTACTACAGTGGCGACCTGACAGCTGGTCTATCCCCACAAATGATGACCTTGAGGCAGTGGCAGAGTTCCTACCTCACGACGATGATTCTGATCCTTTTGATATGGTACACATACGGGGAGGAAGGCGATCCTACTTCTCTGCAGCCGCCGTCGCAATTGAATTCCTCTCACGCCTCAGCGAATCCGCACGTAGCCATCTCCGCCAGGTCACTATACTGGAAGACGAGCAAAGCGACCCCGAATCCTCCAGTCATGCAAGAGGCCTACTTCCGTTTTGTATCTCCAACACTCAATTGAAGATTGAGAGAAGAGTAGACATATGGCGTACCTCACTCATACGTACTTCGAGAGCGACCCATGATGCAGGGACCCAACTTATAATGAAGGAGATTAGGATTTAGATTAGTGAGACAAAAGCACTGTTTGTCTTAGGGATGCTGCCTAGCTCTTACAATCTAGTCTTACACGGCCCATCACCTCTTGCGAGCCAACAAATCTGCGATGCCACTGTCAGGGTAGCAATCTAGGAGGAAGGGTGTACATCAATCGCAAAAGCCGACACTTTCCAAGGGCACTACTTTGTTCACTTTCTTAGTAAAGGCTTCGTAGAGGCGATCAAGGGGGTTGTCAAAGGGAGCATTCCAGCTCAATTCGACGCAGACATAGGGAAGATATAGGATATCGACCAGCTGATGAAAGAAAAGGATGGCGATTGGCCTTCGGACCTGGAGGATGTTTTCGAAATTCGCAACCTGGAACAGCCACCGGAAGGCTGGTGCGCTGCACATGAAGAGCGATTTGGGGTGTGGGAGCACAGAGACTATATTGAAGTGGACTGGACAGAATACATGGAGGGGGTTGATATGCTTTTTAAGCAGAATGAGGTCAGCGAATCCGACTAGGTAGAGAGGATGAATGGGCGGGATACACCAACATTGTCGGCGATGGCTTAACAACCTCATGGAAGGGGAAGTTGAGTGATCAGGAAGCTGTTTGGGCTGATGAATTCAGGACATCTCATCTTCGTTGTCCAGTCATTACACTCCACAATACTGTGTATCATCCATCTGAACTATATTATCTTCTTCTTCCAGATCTTCCAGATCTTCCTTGTGCAATTTAATCACTCACCGAGGTACTGTTGAGTCTTAGACTTACATGAATTGATATTCGCTGCACCGCTTCTGTGTTCCAGATAATTTTGGTACGCCATCGCCCTTGCGCCCTTGGCAGCGCCCTTTCGCTACCATGGGAGACACACTCTCAGCTCAACGTCAAAAGCTTCGCGCGACACATTTCTCCAACATACACAAACTTTCTTGCGTCAAGATGCAGTCGAAAAAGCCCATGATCATGGACCAGCATCAGTCGGTGTTCTTTCGTCTTCCTCGAGAACTACGCGACGAGGTGTATTATTACTATATCTGGGAAGAGCAGGGATACAGCCATCGCACGACTTCGGAGACTCTTCGGGCGACTAACGGGGACGCGGTTAAGATTGGTCTACAATACACGTGCAAGAGAATCGCAAAAGAGATGGATGGAGTGGCATTCAAAACGAACGACATCACTTTCCGCACTATGCTCAGTCCGCCAGATATTACTGGCCATCCCACGAACGCATTCATGTACGAGCTTCTTCTCGGCGACCGTGGGTGTCGATTGAGATACATGGTACACTGGGCTCACAGCCTCATCTCGGTGGAGGTCATGCAAGAGCTGAGGAAACGATATCCATGGAGTCTCGCAGTACAAAGGATGACGGAAGAGGTTTCAAGAACCAAGAGGACCAATTTGCGATATGGATTTCTACCCACGGTGGAGACCCTAGACTTTTACGACGATGAATCTGTACTGCAAGACTTGGTAGAGATCTTGGCGACATATCCGGAGTTTTCCTATTTGACTTCGAGAGAGTACGACATAGATTTACGGAAAGCGACGGGTCCCCAGGAAGATGACGAGGACTTGCCTTCTGAGGATGAGGAATACTTTTCCGACTCCTCCGACGAATCCGACAATGAGGATACGCCCTGCTACTCAAAGGAAACTCAGATGACTGTCTTGCAGTGGAAACCAAAAGCGTGGTGGATTCCAGACCGCACTGAGCTCAAAAAAGTATTGAAGTTCCTGCCTCCGTGGCCCAAAGTGCCTCCAGAGCCGCCTTTTTACGACTGTTGGGTACCATTCATGTACTTCTCAGCAGCTGCAGTGGCTACTCGCTTTATCGAGAGGCTTTCTCCGAACATATGCAGGCAATTGCGCAAGATCATTATCCAGGAGGACCGACTGAGCGTGTCTCGTTCAAAAACCCACGCACAGGCTTTCATACCGTTGTGCGTTGCGAATCCTGATCTCCGCATAGAACGCAGGGTCGATGTCTGGTATACCGAGTTCGTGCACGAGAGCGAATATTTCAACGAGTTCGCAAGCAGAATAATAGAGGCAATCGCTGTATGGATCAACGAGGTCAAGATAGTGTACCAATTAGGTATGCCCGTCGGGTGCTTCAATTTAGTCCTGCACGGACCTTCCAAAGGAGCAAGCCAGCAGCTTTGCGACGCCGTTGTAAGAGCAGCGATATGGCAAGATGGCGCTTTCGAGATAGCCCGGCGAGAGCAGCGGCCCTACGACTGGCAGAACGACGACGGTATAGCCGAAGACTTCGTCGACCTTATCAAAGAGATGCTGCGAGGGGAAACACCGGCGAGGTTCGATGGTGCCGACATGGGCGAGATATGGGATATTGAGAAGATCCTACGCGAACACGATGGTGATTGGCCTCGTTATGTCGGGGATGTATTTCGTCTTCAGGACTTCGACGAGCCGGAGGGTGGCTGGGAAGCGGCGCGCGAGGTGTATGAAGAAAACGTCGAATGGATGGATAGAATAAACGGGTGGAGACGATTGGCTGGAGAAGAGTAGTGGTAGCGAGGGAATTGTATCGGCGCGCAGAGTATACCGTCGTAACTACTGCATGCTATTATGTAGACTGAGTAGTGCAGTAATGTTGTAACTTTTGCTACGCCTTTTACTTATAATCTGGCAAACTGGCAACGACCCGCCGGTTACAAGTTCGGTTATCAAACCGAACGAGCCAATGACCTGCTACACGAGTCGTACTGTGCATGCTCAACGGAATCAAGCTGCGCCGCCACCCTTACATCCTCCGCGGCGCCCTTGATCAGTCTGACACGTACCAACTTGCGCGTTTCCTCACACAAAAACCTCCACCCTGCCCGAATGATAGCGCTTCAACATGATCCGGAGGCCTTTGCGATACCGTTCGCTTGCCTCCATGCTCGCAATGCAGACTTCCAACATCGCAGACCCTCTTCGTCATGGTGACGGACCCAGCATGAGCAATCAACATCATTCTCTTCTCTTCCGGCTGCCACGAGAGCTGCGGGATAGAATCTATGAGTACTACACACATCAAGAGCAAGGGTATATATACGATCCATCGGCCCAGAAGTTTCGGCTCGCCAACGGAGAAAAGATCGATGTCGCGTTGATCTACACCTGCAAAAGAGTGGCTCAAGAGATAGACGGTTTGGCGTTTGAATCGAACACGCTCCGATTCAGCGTCCTTCCAAAGATTCCTGGCACTGAGACTTCAAGCTCTGTAGCCTTCCTCTACCGCAGTCTCCTAGAAGGGCGCAACATGTGTCTCCGGATCATGTTGTCATATGCATATCCCCTTGTCACACGAGAAGCCTTGAGAGAGCTGCGATCGAGATATCCAGGTAACACGGCAGTGGAAGAGCTAGAGAAAACGATTATCAGGGAGGGTAGAGCGGGCTTGAAGGAAGGCCGCCTTTACCCTGTGTTTAGATTGGATTATCTCATCAAAGACGATATACTTCAGGATCTCATTCAGATTATTGCGAGGCATCCAGCGTTCGAGCGCCTCGTTTTGGGAGAATACGATCCATCCGCCAAGACGAGTGCTCCATTGGACTATGACCCGGTTACGGATGACGAAGACGAATTTGAGGACGAGGATAATGACAACGACCAGGGCAGAAGTCGCTCTCGGCCATCAGTATACACGAGAGACACCCTATACCAGATTATCGAGTGGAGGCCCACGTATTGGTGGATTCCGGAGAAAAAGGACCTTGATAAGGTCGCGAAATATGTTCCACAAGCACCAGAACTCGGGACTCGCCATAATGGTCGCGTCAAGAGATTCAAAAGATACTTCTCGGCAGCGGCAGCTGCCATTCAATTCCTTGAGCGCCTTACACCTAAAAAGCGCGCCCAAGTGCGCAAAATTGTTATTCAGGAAGATTACGCGAGCTTAGGAATCTCCCAGAACCACACGAGCTTAGGACTCTCCCAGACCCACGCACGCGGGCTTGTTCCATATTTGCTCGAGAATCCTAGACTTCGGATAGAGCGACGCGTCGACATCTGGGGAACTGTGCTTAGCGAACGTTCCTACAGTGTCGAGCGCTGTCTCTGGGATGTTGCAACGTGGATACACGAAGCAAGTATGCCATGGATTATGGACCTGCCAACGGGTTCTTTCTCCTTGGTCTTACATGGCCCTGACGAGAGAGCCAGTAAGCTTCTCTGCAATGCCATGCTACAGGCTGCAATGTGGCAGGACGGCGCGAAAAAACTGACACGCCGGGGAAACATGCAGGGGATGATTCCTATAGCCGATGACTTCGTCGACGTTATAAAGGCGGTGGTGCGCGGCGATGTTCCGGTGCGTTTCGAGGCAGGCGTGCCTGAGCTATGGGATATAGACAAGATCTTGCGCGAGCAGTCCGACCAGTGGCCATGCGCAGTTGACAGATTGAGATGCGTTACTGTTTTCCATTTCGGTATGCATGATGGAGGCTGGGACTCGGTTCGCTCAGAGCAGATGGAGGAGATTGAGTTGACGGATGGAATGGTCGTTCGGGGTCTATTTGAAACGGAAGATTAGCAGGACAGAACTACAATGGGGGCAAGATTGAGATGTCGGCTGGCAGTTCGTCTAATCATGCTGAAATGTGTGTCTTCAAGGTGAAAACGTCAAAACTCTTGCGTAGAGAGTTGCATGCGAAGGGCGCCGGCCATGGTCGCGGCACACACGAAAACGCGCCAAGACCTACGTTTGACATGTTTGCAGCCAGCTATGACGTCAACCCAGCCGCGTCGCTTTCAACCAGCGCGGCCGAGACTCGAGCTTCCAGCATGGGCAGCAAGCTGATCACAATTACGAAGCCCAAGATCTAGGGTGGTACGCCTTGATCTAAATCCAGATACCCGCACATGCCAGCCATTGAAAACGCCTGGACGCTGCTCCGGGCCGCTGCGGTGCATGAGATTGATTGGTATGTTGGCGGCATTGTCGAGCTTGATTGAGGTTAAATCAAGGTATACGCTTGAAATGAGCCCCACATCGTCACTCGCTGTAGATTGTCCCGTTGGTGTTGATGTTGGCTGTGGCTTAATCCTGGGTAGAACAGGGACAAACGCAGGCACGGCAGGAACCTACGTCACTGCCCGCGTGCCTGCCTTCATAACGCGCCAACACGGACTTTTTGATTTTGTGCATACTCACGATACCCAGTTTCCCCCACTTCACCCTCTCTACTCTTACAATTGACCTTTGTAAAACACAGTCAGAATGGAGACCATCACCAACCTCGCAAGCAATGCTGCCGGTGCAGCCTCCAAGCTCATCTACGGCGACCAGACCAAGGCGGACGAGGCAGTCGACCAGACCAAGAACAACGAAACTGCCGGCAAGGAGCCTATCTCCGGTGAGCAGGGTCAGGGCACTGTCACTCAGCCCTACGACCAGGGCAATCTTGGTGAGCCCTCACGAATTCGCGCATTGGACGACCTATGCTGACCCCGCTCCGAAGCGACCCCTCTAGCGACGGCTGATAAGGGAACTTTCCTCGACTACTCGAACAACGAGACTGCGGGCAAAGAGCCAGTTTCTGGAGAGCTCGGTAAGGGGACTGTAACAGAGCCCTTTGACCAGGGCAACGATGGTAAGTATACGACAATGACGGCTAGTAGAACAGAATACTGACGTATCGCGCAGCCAAGGCCACCGAGAAGGCAGCCGAGAATACCTCTGGCACAGATGAGTTCCTGAAGCTCGACCCTACCACCAAGGGACCGACCGAGACCATGACCGAAACATCGACCGACCCCAAGATCTACTCGGATAGCAAGGACCCGTCCTACATTGGCATGCCCATCGTCCCCCTCAACCCCGACGCTGCTACGTCGAACACCGGCGCTACCTCCTCTACAACCCAGGCCACTGGCATCACGGACAAGGCTGGAGTAACGGATAAGCTTTGGAAGGACACCCCACTTGACGACATCAGTCGTTCAGGTGCGCCAGGTGCTGGTCCTACTGGCCCCAGCGATGTTACTCCTGCGGCTCCTAGTTCCACGGCAACCACAACTACCAGCCCTGATCCCGCCATCAAGACCACTGCTCCCGACTCTGTAACCGGTGCTTCAAGCACATACGCGGGTGGCGCTGATACCGACACTAAGACTGATGCCGAGAAGGCCTCTGCGAACCGCGACACTCCAGAGTGGACATCAACAGGCGTTCCTTCTGACAGCAGCAACTTCGAAGCGGCTGCCGCCAAACAGAACGCTGCCTCTGGTTTGTGGACACGGGAACCCGGACAAAGTCGGGGTAGTACTGACGGTGCCGCAGGTATGACTGGAGAGCACTCAGGTCGCAAGTCCGAGTCTGCCGATTTGACTACATCCCCAAGCGGCGAGGAGAAGGGTGGAAAGATGTCGCACTTGAAGGAGAAGATGAAGAACAAGCTTCACATCGGCTCCAAGGACAAGTAGGTGCGAGGCGGAGGAATGGACGATCTTAATGGATGATGGATGAGATATGATACCACGGCGATAATATGCCACCACGTACGAGGACAAAACTCGTTGTGTACTCCTTAGATAGAAATCTACAGCGTTGAGCTCAAGTTTATCTTCCATTTTGTCCAATCATGTGCCTGGTTCGGCCTCGTGGCACTAACTAAAGTTAGCGTCGCGCCTGCCGTTCGCGATCTGACGTGCATGACAGCGTACAACCGCGATCTTATCACACGCCTCACTTCTAACATAATAGCATCACGTTGGCATTGCTTAGACAACGTATTGGCTTTTGAAACCGTCACAAGACCGATTTTGATGAGCCGCTTCCTCTTGCAGCCTGGACAAGATCCCAAGGTACGTGAACGGCTATCCGCGCTTAAAGGTACTGTGCCACCCAGTCTACCTTTTCTATAGTAGCCTTCTCGCCAACAAAAGCACCTCTTCCAAACTTTCTCCCTATCTTCTCTCTAGTTCTATCGGTTTGCAGCCAGCATAACACACTCTGCAGCACGATCTTCGCATTGCCACTAGCGCGGCAATCACACTGTACTTTCGTTCTCGGAACAACTTTGCGCTGGAACTCTATTGGCAGCCTTGCTTGTGAGGATAGCCGTGGCTACTCCAAATCGCTACATTCTTGGTTCCGTTCTTCCTTCTTGAATACAATCGTCTTATCATTTTTGATCGCACACCACCAACATGGGAAACATTGGCAACGAAAATGCTGTTCGCAGGGCTGACATCGCGATTGATAGAACAACGCCTGAGAGGCAGACGCGAATTTCGAAAGACCTGTCTACTTCGCCACACAATCACGGCTACATGGATGAGGCGAACATGATGCGGAGGGCGGCGGGCAAAATACCGCATGTTTGCGTTGTGGGCGCTGGTGTCGCTGGACTAAGATGTGCAGATTTGTTGCTGAAGCAGGGCGTTAAGGTGACAATACTGGAAGGGAGGAACAGGGCTGGCGGGAGAGTATGTCCAATCAGCTGTGTAAATTTTGACGCACACTAACTAGCTGCCAGCTATGCCAAAGCGATGAGCTCGGCCACAGGGTTGATCTGTAAGTTCGCAATTCTCGATGTAGCTTGTATGAACTTACCGTACTGGCAGCGGCCCGAACTGGATACATGGCACTGATGACAACCCTATCCTGGACTTGGCCAAAGAAACCAAGACTACTACCATGAACTGGGATGGTCGTCAATCAGTCTTCGACAGCCATGGAAACCACATGTCGGACAAAGACGCGGCAATGAACACCGAGCACGTCTGGACCATCATTGAGCGAGCTATGAAGCTGTCGAACGAGACCTCAGCTACGATTCCAGTGCACAAAAGCTTGTTTGACTACTTCCAAGAGAAGGTCGCCGAGATGTTTCCCAATAAGGACGATGAAGCAAAAAAGCAGCAGCAAACCATACTGCAAATGGCAGAGATGTGGGGCGCTTTCGTCGGCTCGCCCGTTCAGAGACAAAGCCTGAAGTTCTTCTGGCTTGAAGAGTGTATCGATGGCGAGAATCTCTTCGTCGCATCTACGTACGACAAGGTACTGAAGAAGATTGCTGAGCCGGCACTGAAAGACGCGACGATGCTGTTTGAGCATAAAGTGCAGCGGATCATATCAGGAGATAAGACCGAAGATACACGCGTCACCGTCGAAGTTGAAGGTCGGCAAAGCATGACCTTTGACGAGGTCATCATGACAGCTCCACTGGGCTGGTTAAAGCGTAATCTCGGGGCTTTCGTTCCAGAGTTACCGAAACGACTGACAGAGGCTGTTGGAAGTCTAGGGTATGGGCATCTAGACAAGGTGTACATCAGCTTCCCAAAAGCCTTCTGGAATGAGCCCATCACCAATGACTCAACCTCGCCATCCGCGTCCCGCGATCTCAGCAAACCAAACGTAACAGCAACTACAGCACCCATCCACCAAGCGACAGACTCACCAGTCAACCCAGCTCACTACCCAGGCTTCACACACTGGACACATCCAACCTATGCATCTGAAACAAACCCCGAATTCTGGGACCAAGAAGCCGTCAACCTGGCCGCCTTACCGGAAGGCTCAGCACACCCAACCCTCCTCTTCTACACCTTTGGCCCAACCAGCCTGCACATCGCGCAACTCCTCGCATCTAATCCCCAAACAAAGCACAAGATCCTCCTAGACTCCTTCTTCGCACCCTACTACACCAAACTCCCCAACTACAATCCCAAAGACCCCTCCTGCACCCCTACAGCGATCCTGGCAACAGCCTGGGCAAATGACGAACTCGCCGGGTACGGCTCCTACTGCAATTTCCAGGTAGGCCTTGAGAAGGGTGACGAAGATGTGGAGACGTTACGAAGAGGCGTGCCTGAACGCGGTGTTTGGTTGGCGGGAGAGCATTGCGCGCCGTTTGTTGCATTGGGGACGGTGACGGGGGCGTATTGGAGTGGGGAGGGCGTCGCGAAACGCGTATTGCAAGCTTATGGGCTTGATGGGAATTGAGATGGCATTCGATGGGGTGGCGTCAGGGTACTGTAGCCTCGTTTATTCGACATGCTTGCGATGGATGTGATGGAAAGTTTTTCCTTAGTCGAAGCCATCACAACTTTCATGCATACCACATCTCAGTACATCTCCAACGATCAGCGCAAATCAAGATCAGACCCAAGTCTGAGTTTAAGGCGCACTCTTTTCTTCTCCAATACGAACAATCTCACCCAAAGTGCGAAGATTTCCCCGACCAAGAATTATGCCGGTGGGTCATCTGCACGAGTCGTCGCAAACCTCGCGCATCGCGCAACACCCCAACGCATCACCAAAGATCCTGATGATTAACTTCCGCTTCCGCGGACATTTCCATCCCCACTCTTCCTCACCAGCTATTTCTCCATTCAGATATACCTGCATATCCCCACTCTCGCATTCTGCAAATGTACGCAAGCTAAACCGCGTTGTGGTCCTCGCACCGAATCCGAACTACAGACGGGGTAGGCCGTTGGCGCGCCATGCCTCCGCGTTTCAGATTTCTCGGCTTGACGTGCTGGCCCTGGCCCCATCTGCATGTCCCTCTTTGCTTTTTCGTTCGCGTGGAGGCGGAAAGGCGCGAAATACGGTTTCTAGCGGGTGATGCCGTTGGCGCGGTGGATGGGTGTCGCGGTCGCGATTGGGTGGGTTGCTGACCCGAGGGTTGGAATAGGGTTTAGAGTTTAGAGAAATTTTGGTGCTGGTGGGTTGTAGATTGGTATCGCGACACGATAGGTGAGGATCGGCGCAGTCTGGGAGAGGCGATCAACCAAACTTGATGGCGAGTTGGGCTGAAGGTTTGGGTAGGTACTTGAGTATATATTCTGGGTTTGCGCTGTCAAGTTGAGGGAGTATCATTAAGTCATTCCTTCTTATACCACTTTCTTTATTGCTGGGCATACCGAGTCGTCTGTCCTTTTTTTTGACCGTTTCAAACACGTACAAACACATACACACGCGCATACTTAGTCGCCACACAAGATGGAACGCACATCATCCTACGGTTCATCAACCTACGGCTCATCGGCCTTCTCATCAACATCGTCAAACAAGTCACGAATCTCGATAAGAGAACGCATAGGCAAGCCAAGCAAGGTATGTGAACTCGAAAATATGATGGCGATAGGGTACTGACGTTGAGCAGTATCTGTGGCAAACATTGCTGCAGTGCAAGATCCTATAATGGTTTGGCTGGGCTGAACTGTGGGGATATTGCACGTGTAAAGCTGAAGTGCGAGAGGAATGCGATGGAGAAGAAAGAATGTACATAACAGCTGCTGGGCGGTCAGGCTATCAGCAGGCTGCTAGCCAAAACAGAACAAGTTCTGTCGTTACAGGATGAACCAAATACTGTAAAATCCCCTTTCACTTTACCCACGTTATCGTCTTGATCTCTTCACTCTACTTCCATGACCACCTCACCCGTCGCAAACCTCCATCCACTGAACGGGCTATCGGCGTAAGCATATAACTCTTCCTTCGTGACTTCATCCCCATACTTCCCCCAAACGCCCTTCCATATTCCTTTCGCTTGGACCTTGTAGTTCGCCGGCTTGCGCTCAGGCATCCACGGCTTGTCAAATACAACCTCAACCTCTTCTTCCGTCCCAGGTGCAATAGCAACAAGTGACCCCTGCGGCGGCGGCATCTTGCGATTAACCTGCAAAACAGTCTGCTGGACCTCCTCCCCACTCTCCGCATCAGTAACAGTGAAAACGCCAGTATTGAGTGCGGAGGCGTCAAGCGGTGTATTCCATTTCAAGATCGTGTACGGAGTATCTGGACTGGTGTTCTTGAGCGTAACGAGCAGAGTAGGCGGAGAGCGAGATATTTGGCTTAGTGTAAACTCCAACCCGGGTATGCTGTTCGCACTGGAACTTGGATGCGGCATACTGAAGTTGAGAGGCGCGGGGGACTGGTAGATGTAGAAAGCTCCGAGGAGGGATATGACGAGGCCGGTTAGAAGAACTGTGCGAGTCGTCCAGATGTTTGCCATGTTAGCTTCTCATGTGGCTGGTTTGAGCAACGTGACACCAGTAGGGGGGGTTGGACGTATAAGGTTGCTGTCGCAGGGACAGATAACCGCAAGTCTGCATCCGCGACATCGTATTATGTCTACAGGCTGTCGCGTGACGACTGTGTTACGAGCGAATCATCTTGCCAGAGACAATATAAAGTGCTATCAGCCTTTGTACCTCCTTGCTCGGTACCTGCCCTGCTGGGGAGCGGGGTGCGCGACGCTATACCCAACCTAGCTATGTGCCGGCGAGAACTCAATATATACTTCATTGCGCATCCGGGGTGAGACCGCCTATCGCTCAGAAGGATATCTTCATGTTATATCGTAGAACGATGGAGGTTACTTGCAGCTTGATGACTTTCACGTCTCTCTGGTGGGTACTGTGCTGTTAGTGCCTTGGCGCGAGGGTGCGGCTTCCAGGTTCGTGGGTGGGCCAGGAGACTTGATTAGTATCCTATCACGACACTTACGAACAAGAACTTGTACGCCCGTTCTCATCTGCTAGGTAGGAATAGACTCTGTCTTTATAGACTTCGGCACATGCCTTCATACAACCGAGCATCCTCACTCTCCATGGTGAACGCATGGTTGCAGATGCCGCTGCCGCCGGCCCTGCCATTCTACCCACCAACCCTATGACGCACTCACCCAAGTACTGCAACCACTCGATAATGGAGACACACCGTTAGCTATTCGGTGCTTTTACGAAGCAGAGTTGTTTTCGTTGGTAGAGATCTGGCCCCCAAAGGCTTGGGGCTGCGCCCTGCGCAAATCCGCGGACTGGCAGGACGCCTGAAAATACGCCTGATCTGCAAGTCGTCTCAGATAAGGCTGACGTCGCCACGTCCGCTCGTGATTTGTTTCCTTGGTATGCATCGCGCACTGCTTCGCTTCAGAGATGAAATCTACGACGCAATTTTCCGCCGTTCGCCAGGACGCTGATGACGATGCACGAAGGAGCGCCGAATTGCTCCCCATGGCCGACAGCCACAGCGACGCCAAGTCCGAATCGCCACAAAAATGGCCTCGAAAAGATCGCAGGACGACATTCCACGAGAAATGGTCACCGTTTCCTTGGCGAGTAACTGGCGTCTTGTTGGCAATCCCTCTTGCGCTCGCCTGCATTGTCGGTCTCGCTGCGGCGGCGGAAACGGTTTCGCAGGGCTACATCATGGGACGAGACTGTTACCCAAACGGCCTTTGGAAAGAAGCCACCGGAGCAACATGGCGCATCATGGATTCCTCCTACTTCTTTACACCGAATTTGAGCTTCGGTGCTCTCACCTTTACGCAGGTCAAAGTCATAGATGTCGCATGGGACCTGATTATTGGAAGAGGCGGACAGCTCTTGTTGGCATGGGTAAATTACCGCGTCTTCAACGAGTGGCTGGTATATCACATGGAGATGCATCACACGTCATACAAACTATACGCTGCTGTAGCCTTCGAGACAACAACCATGGCCACCCTCGGCGTACTGGGAAAAGAGTTCTTGGCTTATGGGGCGGGCACCTGGAAGCGTTTTTTTCGTTGGCTCGCTATCCTCTCAATGCTGCTTTCCACCCTCTATGTCATCGCGTTCCCAACCTTGATGGCAGCCATGACGGGTTATATTACGACTTACAAACCTTACATCGAAGATATCGATGGTAATCTCATGGAATGGAGCAAGGCCAAGGACGTGGCTTATATCATTCAGGACGCGGACAGGGTGGGCTTGAAAGCTCCTCTTATCGTCACAGCGGATGATCAGCCGCTTATTGATGCTATTCACCATTGTACGTATGCTGGAAGTGGCTCTGAGGCTCAGCTAACGTAGTATAGACAAAGGGCAATTTAGTAGTTGGAACGAGTCATATTTCCGGATATTCGGTGATGGAGTCAAAACAATATCGGTTGAGCATATCCCCGCCCACGGTTTCGGCATAACCAATGGAACCTTGCACAACATTACGGCAGACTTTATATTCGACGGCGTAACGAATTCTACGCCGTCGACATCTTACAGCCTGGATATCTTCAGCTTCAACCTCACACTTCATGGACTTAACTCCGGAAGGAAGCTCAGCGAATTTCCTGAATCTCAATACACCTTCGAGAAACGACCAGATGCGAACCACTCTTACATGGGGCAATACTTACTGGACCACGGATCTTGCAACCCTAGCGAAACGTACCAATGGGGCTTCTCTTACATCTTCCTCTTCATGGTGTCGATATTCAACTTCGTCTGGGTCTGCATCATGGTCGGCATGTGGCTTGATACACGACGCGGATCTATGATGTATAGGAGTGGAAGGAGGCCGGGGCTTTTGCGCAGCATTATGGATTACTCGGCTGCGATACGGGAGGAGTTGGGTAACGAGGCAAATTACCTGGAGGAGGATGAGCTAAGGAAACGGTTGACGCAGAGTAGAGGGGCGCTAGTCGTGGAGAAGAGGGAGCTTAGGGTCACAAGGACGAGTACGGGGGAGATGACGAAGAGAGGTTGGAAGCGCGGTTTGACTAGTGGGAGCACGTTTTGAAGAGCGAATAAGATAAGATTGCCGCAAAGTTGTTCGTGGTATCATCAGAAATGTAACTGAGCCATGCTCCGCGCGGGTGTATGCGTGCGACTCAACCCCACTGGTATCTCTCCTCGTCAACCATGGTGCTTTCTGCCCAGCACTTTTCAACCCAGGCGACGCCAACGATTCTGGCAAGTCCAGTGATCTTATTTCTTGCACCTGTCGTCGAAGATTGATCGTTCAGCACAACAAGATGGGTGACGCCTTCCGCATTTATGTCGTCAGTCACGACGCCACCGCCAAACTGAATGTAGTTCCTCGCCAGCCGTACTCTCAGCATACCATCTGGTCGTTCCTGATCGTTTCGAACAGCCGCTTTCACCGTACTAAACATATGTGTCTTGAGATGCGCAAACGACTCCCCATGATCTTCCAGTTGATCCAGAAACCCCTCTCGCCCAAACGCCTCATTATCCTCCGGCACCGACACACCCTCCAGCAACTTCCTCATCTCATCCACATCCGCTACATCGCGCGCATACGAATCCCCATGCTCATCAACATTATTCTCATAATCCAGTTGATCGTCGTCATGAAGATAAAACATATGCCTGTTTGGCTCGAACGGGAGTAGGTATGGCATGGGAGTAGCGTCTAACTCGTTCTGCCTGATGCAATCCTGGATCCAGACGGGCTTGACGATGTTGTTCGTTGCGCGTTTCTCCAGCGAGGCCACTTTGATTAGTCGCTTGTCTGCAACGATGATGAGGTTCTTGTCCATGGAGTCGCGTTGTACGATTTTGCCGCCGTTGGCTTTGACTAGGGCTTCGAGATCTGCTTTTGACTTTTTTGTTGGGGAGATTTGCTCTGTCATTATGAAGAAGCTGAGGCCTTCGAAGACTTTGGATGCTGGACCTGCGTATGGTGTTGTGACGGTGTCGTTGCCGACGACTGTCAGTGGCTTCTTTGTTGTCCTGACTTTCTTCCTTCGCGATTGCTCGATCTTGAATTCTTTTTCCTTCTCATTCACCTCTGTCTCTGCTCGGCTCTTTACTTCCAGCCACTCTTGTGTTGAGAGCGCCTGGTCCCATCGCTTATCTTTCTTGAGTTTTTGGAAGCGGGGAAAGCGAAGCGTGTATCCCATGCGGAATTTGTCACTATTCTCGACACTTGCTGCTTTGCACCCCAGGACGACGGAATCGCAAGGGTGGATAAATTCATCTGGCCGCTCGTGTTGCTTATAGTCGTAGCCGCCCAGTTCGATGAATGGAGGCGGTTGTCGACGATCCCATTTATGCCACTTACCTTCCGTGCGCCTCCTTATTTCAGCGTACTCGTCCTTAGTGAATCCACCACCGACTTTGAAAAAGGATTTACACAGTGGGTGCTTCGCCACTATCTTGTCCTTCTCTAGCAATGCACAAAGGAAGGATGAGTGGGCGCCACCGCGATGCCCAGTGCCAAAGTATCCGCCAACAACAATGCAGTCGAGCGACTCGCCGTACTCTGACATGTATTCTGGCTTCACTTTCATCCAGTCGTTGTTCCGTTGATTGAGAGAGTACATGGAGCGCGGATTCTTTAGCACCAGACCCTCGGATGACTCTGCAACGACCTTCCGTAACTCCGGTTCAATCTCGGTATGCGAGCGCGCCTCAATGTAAGGATGGATCTCCAGACGACGTTTTATGCCCTTGACGGCACTCTCAAGGGCGCGACGTCGATCGCGTAGCGTGTACTGTGTGAGTGATTTGTCGTTCAGATAGACGCAATCAAACACCCTAAACAGTGGCCGCTGACCAGTATCCTTGTCGGTTTTATTCTCTTTCTCAGATATAGCCGCCGTCTTGAGTGTACCGAAGTCCACGATGTGGTCCCTGTCCATATCCCAGGTAATCATCTCCCCATCAAGGATAATGTTCCGTACATTCTTTCCGAAGGCGTCCTCGATGAAACGTGTAAGTGCACCGGCCTCGTCGCCTTCGAAGTGTCTGCCGTAGAGGTATGCGTAGTCTTTGGCTTTACGTGACCAGAACCCAAAGGTCCTTCCGCCGGGTGCGTCGGGATCTTCAATCATATGGAGCTGCATGCGCTCCCCGTCGAGCTTCTCTTCAATCCAAAACGTGTCATCGTCCGCATTTGCTTGGAAACGGCTCACCAGTTTCTCAAAGTTGCCTACTTTGTCCTGAAACTGAGCTAGCTGTGGCTGGAAGCATTGCATCAAGCTCAGCTCAGTGCTCTCGCCCTCCAAACGAATCTCCGGGTCGAAGAGCTCCCAGCACACTCGCCGCAGGTTTGACGAGATATTGAACAGTGTCTCCGCGTCCGGATGCCAGATGTCGAGGAGTGTCTTCTCAGTAGCGCCGATCTTCATCTGACGGAGGATCATACGGATGAGCCAGGTCATCTCCTCCGCATTCATCCTTCGGTAAAACCGCTTGAAAATCTTGACTTGCTCCTCTTCGGCACCAACCTGCGACAGCTTATCCAGAGCATTGTTGACTTCGGCGATGCTCATGTCGCTGTACTCGGTCTTCATCTGCCGCATTGACAAGACATCGTAACATCGCCCAGGAAAGTCGCCCGCAGATGCATTCGAAGCCGAGCTGAGCTGACTGGGTAGCTTCCATTCCGTTATGTGGTCGGCATCAATAGATTTGGGCTTCATGCTGGTGCACTTGATCAAAATCTTGGCAATTGCTTTCTCTTTTAGACCGTACATGGCTCGGTCTCTATCTTTTTCGGGAATCATGAGACGCATTGCGGGATAGAAGTCGTTACCAACTTCCTTTCGCCAATTTGCAATATATCTTTCGATGATGTTGCGTTTCGCTTCATGGGGCGACAGGTTGGAGTGTCCGTGAGGCCCGACTCTTCGACGAGCTCCCACAGGCTGCTTCCTCTTCTGTGTTTCCATGAGTGGGTTGAAAAGGTCCGTGAACAGGGTATGGAAGCGGGGCGTCTTGTGGAGGTTCAGCGGCCGGGTAGGGTACTTGTCGTCGAGCTCATCGTCATGACCATACATGAGCGTGTTCTCCCTAACCGCCTCCTCATCCGGCATTGGTATATCTTCGGCCATTTTGGGTGCATTGGAGGAGTGAGTCGACGGGTGTAAGGTTTGTTTGTATATGAAGGCAGGATCGTGGTTGCCTGGAAGCCGCATTACGCGTGATCACGTGGCTGTCAGGCTGCAACGAGCTAGCGCATCTCCCAAGGCGTCACCCATGCCAGTGGGTACCTACGCCGTGATTCACAAGGCTGACGATACTAATCTTGGAAACTGGGGGAATTGCGACTCCACAACACTCGTTTTCCCTTTAGTCCTTCGTTTCTTTGCTTTCATGTCGCGCCAAAACACCTTTTCCAACCGCACTACTGTCCCCTAATTGTCCGTATACGTCATTATTACTCACCATCCAATGGACCGTAAATGAGCGCTGCACGTAAGCAGGGCTGGGTCCCGCAGTCGACCGGCGACACCCAACACAATGTACGGGATGCTGCGCTACAAGGTGCCGCTCGAGCCTTCTCCAAACCTCCCGCGAAACCGAAGCCTTTGGTGAACACGTACACTGGGGGAGACAATGGGGCTTTGCTCGCTGCAACCAAAGTCGGCACAGGCAATCCGGCATCCTTGCGGAGGGACCATACCGGTGGTTCCGTAGGCGTCGGTAGGCCGAACCTATCCCATTCGAACAGCACGACGTCGCTGAGCGTGCCTGACGATCACCCCGACCGCGTCTCGTCGCCTTCGAATATCGCGGCACGGCTTGCGGCAGCTCGACACAGCCCTCTGAGGCCAATACCCCAGGCCAAGGCCGTTGTTCCGCCCGCCATGAGCGAACAGCAGCCACACGAGCGGGATGCACTGCCTCCCTCGGGCAGCGTAGGCAATGTGCTTGCGAGACTCGAGTCTCAGAAGCCTACGCAACAGTCGCGGAAGAGGAGAGACAGCCTAGAGTCACCTGCAGCGGCGCGCAATGCCCGACGACCAGAGCCACAACACAAGGCTACTGACGAGACGCCCATACCGCCAACGAATTCGCTGGTGAAGATGTTTGAGCAGGCGCGACCCAGCACACCCACGAAGCAGCCTTCCGCACCGATACGCGTTGCGCAGAATTCACCACCCCCTGTGAAATCGCCCAAGCCACAACGTGCGTTCAAACTGCCTCCCGAGCCGAAAGATGATGCACCGCTGCAGAGAGTCAGAACGCAGACACCGCCGCCCGTCAAGCCGAAACCGAAGCACAAGATCCAGCTGCCCCCACAATATGCTGATGGCAGCAGCGATCAGGCATACTTCAATACACCCAAGAAAGACCCTCTGAAGTCTCCCCCAATCAAACAGAAGCCGGTGCAGTTGGCAGCAATCAACACATCCACGTCCCCACCTTCAAAGCCGCAGCGGAGAGGTTCGCGGCAAACACGGCCCAAGTCGGAGGACACAACGCAGTCATCGTCCCTACAGCGCCGCAGAGTGTCTGCGTCTGTAGAAAGCTATCAGTCACCGTCGACACCCACATCTTTCAAGTCAGCCAAAGAAGACCAGGAGGACGACGAGAAGCCTAGACCTGCGCTGCCTCCACCGCGACGATCGACCGCGCGGAAGACTGAACCTGCGCGAGCTGCGAACAAGCTCCAGCCTTCAGCTCCGATACAGATCAAGCCTCGCACTCAGAGCCAGAACCCAGCCTCGATGGCTCCATTACAGAAGCTTTCGCCTCCGCGTCGACCAATGTCAGTCAACAGAACAGGGTCGCCTTCAGTGTACCATAACAACTACCAGCGAGAATCTGTCAAGCAGATCACGCAGCACATGACTGGCGAGTCTCTGTCGAGCGCCATAATGGGCGCCGCCCTAGCCTCCCATTCTCGCAACGTCTCGCCGGCACCTCGGCCGATGTCAGTCGAACCTCTCTTCCCGCCGCGCAAACAGCATCATCACCACTCGCCGTTCCATCGATCGCCCTCGCCGCCTAAACAATCCTCTCCGAAGAGCGCCGGCAAGCTGCGAA